TTTTTCATGTGTGTTGAATATGTCTCATCTATTGATTATCATCTTACGTGTCTTTTATAACGTTTATGTTGAGATATGTAAAAGAATATGATCCCCATAGAAAAGCTTAAATCAACTATCGTATTAAATGTCTCAAAATATATAGGTGGCAAGACCACCCCAAGATCGATAGGACTGGATATTATTTGTTAATTGTTAATACATGCCGTTTACTTCCCCCAGTTTAATTTCCCTAAAGGATCATCTTATCTCAGCTGATATCTCTATTCCCCAGTACGACCCCAACCTCCGTCTGTGACACTTGTCCTGGTTTTGCTTTTGAGACGACCCCTCCTACCTGTTTCTTTTTGTAGTGATAGTGATGCTCCATGGTAGCTACATCCTTAATAGTTTCAGTATTAAAGTTAGTACTTTTTTACGTCAGCTATCGTTTATAATGAAGCTAAGTCTAGTTTCAAAATAGGCATTTAAAAAGTGTCCTTTGGAATACAGTATCATCGCACACTAATTTGCATAAAGCCATTGTCTGTTCTAATTACGTCGCTTTCTAATTTAAGTCGCTTTAAACCGCATTGCTCATTTCTGCACTAATCTCTCCTCAGTAAAGTTCTTTTTTGACGTTTCCTATCTCCCTACCATTGAGATTGTAGTTGGGCCGAACTTAGTTTAACAGATATTTCACACTTTCACATATTAACTTCATAAATTGTAGATATAAATGTGACAAAACAGTCTTTTTTCTATTTCCGACAGTACTTTAATAATCGAAGTTGTGGGCAACATGAACAGGAAAATTATGTCTCAACAAGAACGGAACTCGGATGTGAGTTGGAATAATTACATCTGGATCCAGAACCAGGTTTTGTGATATTAATGAGTCTGTTGTAGTTTCTGAACCTGTACACATTCCGATTCAGTCAAGAACGTCAGGAAACTTTGTTTGTATTCACAAGGTAATTCTTAATATTAGTGTTTTCTACATAACTCTTATTCTCCATAGCAAATGCGTTTAGTTTCGAATGTGGGCCAACCTTGCAATTTCGATTAGTCTAGCAGAGTTGGCTCCCTTGTCGTACCATCGCCTATGGTGTTTCTGGGTACAATCTGGCATGTTGTCTGGTATGTCTTATTCTGAGACAGTCGTATCGCCTGTTATCATGCAGTCTGACATACAGGTTAGTGTGTTTTCTTCCATGTGGTAGGGCATATATTCCACATGTAGCCAGGTATACGGTATGTTTTGGTTTGTCACAAATTGATGTGATCTGCCATGATATTTGTAAGGCAACCTCACCTGTAACCGAGCATGCATGTTTCCTTGTACTCGAGCAATTAGTCTGATATCCAATGTACCGTTTTGCCTGTTATCTTCTATGTAGTCAGGAACCTCGTCTATGTCTGCCATAAAAAAATGACATGGCTTCGATGTCTTCTGCCATTTAGTCTTCTGCGCATAACGTGCTTTGTGCTCTATCGTGTGTATTTTATGGCACTGTGTCCGTCATGTAGAATGCTGTGTCGGTTTTCATGTAGTGTGGCCTATCGTATGCCATTTTGCATTGCGAGTCATCTGTCAGTAGCATGGTGATTCACCTGTCTAATACTAATGCTATAGTGCTGTCATGCTGTTACTGTTTGATATATTGTCTGTAAAGTAAAACGACCTGCCAACTGTCATGTAGCATGACCTGTCGTCTGTCATGTAGTGTGACCTGTCGTCTGTCATGTAGTGTGACCTGTCGTCTGTCATGTAGTGTGACCTGTCGTCTGTCATGTAGTGTGACCTGGCGTCTGCCATGTAGTGTGACCTGTCGTCTGTCATGTACTGTGACCTGGCGTCTGCCATGTAATGTGAACTGGTCTGTCATCTAATGTGACCTGTCGTCTGCCATGTAGTATGACCTGTCGTCTGTCATGTAGTGTGACTTGTCGTCTGTCATCTAATGTGACCTGTCGTCTGTCATGTAGTGTGACCTGTCGTCTGTCATGTAGTGTGACCTTGTGTCTGTCATGTACTGTGACCTGTCGTCTGCCATGTAGTGTGACCTGTCGTCTGTCATGTAGTGTGACCTGTCGTCTGTCATGTAATGTGACCTGTCGTCTGCTATGTAGTGTGACCTGCGGTCTGTCATGTAGTATGACCTGCCGTCTGTCATGTAATGTGACCTGTCGTCTGTCATGTAATGTGACCTGTCGTCTGCTATGTAGTGTGACCTGCGGTCTGTCATGCAGTATGACCTGTCGTCTGCCATGTAGTGTGACCTGTCGTCTGCCATGTAGTGTGACCTGTCGTCTGTCATGTAGTAGTCTGTCATGTAGTGTGACCTGGCGTCTGCCATGTAGTGTGACCTGCCGTCTGTCATATAATGTGACCTGGCGTCTGCCATGTAGTGTGACCTTGTGTCTGTCATGTAGAGTGGTATATCGCGCAGTCTGCACGTCGTTCTTCATTTAGTCATGTTCGTCATCTGCCATGTTGTGCGACATTGTCATGAAGTTGGTAGCTGCGTGTTTGAGATAAGATATTTCATTCAGCGCTCTTGGAACATCCGCCGTTTATGAAATCGAAATTCGTATTATTAGAGCATATCCACTGTGTCTGCCTTCCCAGGTGATTCTGACGTTTGTCTGAAAAACAATCCTTTTGATTTTTTTGCAATATCCCCAATAAAACAGTTTGTTCTGTTTTGTTTGTAAGCACGTGAATAAATTTCAGAAATGTATATCCTTATTCCCCATGTGCGTATGTTTAAGGTAACGTTTTTGAAATGTATTGGGTGAAATGAAACATCTGTCCGTTTGTATATCCTAGATTAATGATATGGCTTCCCTGGCGCTCACAATATCCTCGTATCGAAAACATAATGATAATGTTCACTTGATATAAAATATGGAGAAAACAACACACAGTGTGGTTCAAGAATGCTTTCTATTTTGAAAACTCTGAAAAGTGTAGCAATTTGCCACACACAGTAAGAATTTCCAATCAACACTTTCTTCTAAATTAATTCCTGGCCATTATCTAAGAGTAACAGACATCTGAATTGTGGATGTTTCGGGAGTTTCGAGAATAAAGGTATGTTTTCATAATGAAAGATTTTCAAATGAGCCTATGGTCTTGTTTGGTACAATAGTACATCCCAGTCAGTGCCAACATATTACTCAACTTTCAGCCTCCACAGCCTCGACACAGAAGAAGCTGTTGTGGCATTCTAAACATACGATGAGAATGTACACAGAAAGTACTGTACATGGATCGACAGCCTAAGAGTCCTTAAGTGGATGACTGCATGGACAGCGATGGTAAAGGCGGACGATGAAACAAAACATTTTCTTGCAGTCGATCCTGCAGGCTCAACACAATCGTTTCAGATGAAAGAGGTGTCAGGTGGCATCAAGGAAATATTTGTCCAATGAATGTGTAAAGTGCAGTTGCCCTGAACAATAAACAAGAGTATCACATAATGCCTGTCTGGCTGTATCACTATTATGCACTGGAGTACCGGGCCTGTAATTCCTGCATGTGCTACCAGATCACAAAATCACACAACTTGACACACAGGGGCCAAGTTACGCACACTGGTCTAGTTACACACAACATGACACACAGAGGCCAAGTTACGCACATTGTTCTAGTTACACACAACATGACACACAGAGGCCAAGTTACGCACATTGTTCTAGTTACACACAACATGACACACAGAGGCCAAGTTACGCACATTGTTCTAGTTACACACAACATGACATACAGAGGCCAAGTTACGCACATTGTTCTTGTTACACACAACATGACACACAGAGGCCAAGTTACGCACATTGTTCTTGTTTCACACAACAAATGACACACAGAGGCCAAGTTACTCACATTGTTCTAGTTACACACAACATCAAACTAACACAGAACATCAAATAAACTGTCTAACATGCATTAGAGTAAACGTGTTAAAGGACACCTTTTCGATATTCACAATATATCTATGGCAAAAGCAACATCAGGGGTATGATTCCGAAACTATCGTAAGCATACGAGTATGTATATAAATCACAATCAATGGATGACAATACCTATCATATAATCAGATAAACACAGAGAAACACAGTTTGTTTGTGTATTCACGTCGCACTTACCAATATTACAGCTATGTGGTATGTGACAAATTCGAAATGCTGAATTCCTTGATGTACGAAGAAAGTATTCATCTGAGCAATATTCCACATTTGAAGACACCCATCTAAAGTGTATGTCAGAATGTAACTGGTGACATTACAGTTTTGACAGATATTAATATTCAAACTCTCGCATACAATTTGACAAATGTCAGAGCAGGTTCACATATCGGTCGATTCCGTCTACGTGAGTTATCGTAATATGTCAACTTAATATGACGCATTAACTTTATAACGATCCACAGAAAATACCACAACATCAAGTTAATGGAAAGTAAGAATTCTTCTAACCTTATATCGGCATGAAGAAGTAAAGAGACCAGTGATACAGATTGATATTTCCGTCTGAGTCAGACAAAGAGGATATTTCATTCGGCAAATGACAATTTCTCTACACATTATTGAGTTGTTTTTACACACAGATGCCATGTGTTCAAAGGATGTGCATCTTTCAGTTGATACTATCGACGTGTAAGGGTGTGAAATTAGGTTTTGATTATTTATGCCACTGATAGTAATCAAATGCTATAATTACATGGCTACATTATATTTTAAGCATGGTGTCAATGATTACTGAGTCGCATATTTTCAGTAGTTTATGAAAGAACTGTCTGATATGTGACCTTCAAACCAACTGAATTAGCATTTTCATGTTGCAAAATCACATGTATATAATCATGCCCTAGATCGTTACTGGTCTCACCGATCCGACTCGGCAATAATAATAATAATAATAATAATAATAATAATAATAATAATAATGCATTTGTTTAAGCGCCTAATGTCCAACCAGTGCTGCTCAGTGGCGCTGCGCAGAGAAAGTGGAGAAACTAGTAGGTAGCTAGAAAGAGATGAGTTTTTAGTTGGCTCCTAAATGCTTCCAGGGAAGATACTGATCTCAGTTCAACTGGCAGAGAGTTCCACAAAGCTGGTGCAGCAGCACTGAAAGCTCTGTCTCCCATGGATGTTTTTGTAGCTGGCATTTTCAGGCTGCCTCTTTTCTCAGACCTCAAGACACGAGTTGGACGATAGATTTCGATGATGTCTTTGAGGTAAGCTGGTGAATTGATGTCATAGAGGGTTGAGTAGGTGATGCAAATTATTTTGTACTGTATTCTCCTCTTTACTGGGAGCCAGTGCAACGACCTCAGCACAGGGGTGATGTGTTCCTGACATTTTGTCCTGGTTATGATCCTGGCAGCTCTGTTTTGTACAAACTGGAGATGTTGGATTGCTGCTGCTCCTGACACGAGGGAGTTACAGTAGTCTAGGCGTGAAATGACGTATGACTGTACTAAAAGTTTGGTTGTGTCAATGTCCAAATAGCGGCGGATTTTTCCTATTCGGCGGAGATGAAAGGTTGCTGATCTTGCTGCTGTTAGGGCTTGTGATTCTGGTGACATTGAAGAACGGAAAACAACACCAAGATTCTTCACCTGGGGCACAGGGCAGATAGACTGATCTCCAACTGTGAGACTACACTCGCCTATTTTGCGAAGCTGCTGCCTAGTTCAAATGATCATGAACTCAGATTTGTCGTCGTTGAGTTTCAGAAAGTTGTTTGTCATCCATATCTTGATGTTAGCGATACAGCTCTCCATAACATCTTTTGCGTGTTCAACAGTGGTGCAGTTGTGATCTTGGCTGGAGTAATCATAGATATATCGACCTATGTATATGTAAATCATTATTATATACCTACTCTATGAAGGAAGGACTAAGTCATCAAATTTGCACCAGACAAACTAGTCACCCATATCATGAGCCACCCCTTCGGTTACGATGGCATGCAATCCACCAAATTAATTAGCCTTAATATTGGATCTGTTGTACACAATGTTGACGTGCAAAGGTTGAAGGTGATCAACTCCATAAAGGAATCCCAAGAGAACCTAAGTAAAAATCCTTATAACAATGATTATGATGTTCGTTTTCTTGCTTTCCTAACATGTTAGTTTAATGTGCCACCACATTTCTAAATCATGAAATATGATAGCTGTGGTTACCGTTGTCCTCGGCATCGTACTTAATCACAATGATCCCCTTGTTTTGCCGCCGGCTCGATGTACTCTTATCATCCTTGATCCTTTTCGACAAAAGCAAAAACCATCCTGGACCATCATGCCATCACAGAAGATGGTGTTCACTTGGAATACGCTTCACTGTATGATCCAGGTTAGTGCCCTAAACGACACTGCAAAAACGAGAGGGGTAATTATTCCAATTATAAGGGTAATTTGGATAAGCTTGCAGAAATTAGTAAAGTGCATCTGGATTTAGATACAGGGTAAGATGGGCAATTTTCAGATCATGTGAAACACGATTGGGTGATTTGGGAATGTTCAACTCTTACATGAAGACGTCAGGCAGGTGTGCAAGAATGCACCTCAAAGGGAATATGGAGTGCAGTGTTAGGGATATTACTACTTGCAGAATAGGATTATCCAAAATAACATTGAAAATTTAAGATTGGCCCATTATTTGGTGAACTTTCAGGACCGGTATGCTATTCTGATATTCTCGTCACAGCATCACATATCCGTTTGTTATCTTCTTGCCACCATGTCGGCTTAACACCTCTCACTAAATCTTTTCAGCACATTATCTTCAGCTCATCACGTTCCATAGCCACAAAAATGCTGTTACGCTCACTGTTTTCTGCACACTTCTTGTCACCACATGGTCTTATAAGCCTTCTTCCCGAATCTTCTCGATATGTCTTCTTCCGATCTTCTTATTAGCAGACCCATATTGTGTTTATATCACAATGTGACTCACTGCCTCCTCTCAGTATTACAGTGCAACAGAAATATTATCTATTACTTTATATGCCTGTGTGGCCTAGTTATCCCATTTACAAGCTTCTGGTATCGACCTGTATTGGACAGGAAATGGATCGGTCTTTCTCTACCATGTCGTTTTATTGTAAGGCGTTAAGCAATGGTTCGTCTGCCTTTTGACCAAACTGAAGAGACCACAGAAGATAGTATGATTCACCCACACTACCACTGCTGTCACAATCAACACGAAGATCATTTGTGTTGTAATGTATTAAAGTAAAAACCTCTTACAACTTTGAATACTCGACCGGATATATTTTGCTGACTGTATGAACACTGAAGGGATATTATGTTCTTTTGTATCTCAGAGGAAGAGTCATTCAGCACTCGAACATTACGTGTTGCCACCTCATGTCAGACTATTGCAACACGAGAAATCATTTTAGGCAGGATGTGTAATGTCAATAATGTGTTAGCACATGTTTAATTTGGATAAAAGCTTCGATGCTTCTGGATGTTCCATTAAAATGCTAACTTCATTTGGTTTAAAATGCAAGATCAATGAAAATGGTTGATTGAACTAAAGGTTGTAAAACCTCAAAATGTAATATTTTTGTTACATTAACGAACTTCTTATCTAAATTTGATCTCTCCATGTAGGATATAATTCTCATTCGGAATGTATTTTATGAGTGGGCATCCAGTGTTTAATGAAGTTTGGTTTGCACGAGTCGACTACAAATATTACTCAAGTGGAACGTTAATCCTTTCAGAAACGGGAGCCGAGACAATCATAGAGTTATTTATCCATGGCAGTGGCCCGTGTTTATCATCGAATGCCTGATGGTAATGGCCAGCTGACTGAGTTTGATTAAACGTTGTGTTGAAAGGTATGTTGGTGTTAGGGAGCATCAACTCCTGATGTGAGAGAAAAGCCCGCGTATTGCTTTTAGTCTAATCCAAGAGTACGTGTATAATGCTGCCAAGAGGCGGGATTCGAACTCACTGGTATCGCACGCCTGTTCATACATCTTGTGAAAAGTTGGTGAATGTAAAGCATCACATGAGTCTCAATGTTGGACCATAAGCAACACAAATCATAATGAATAGTAATGATTTATGCCTACCAGGCCCTTGGCTCACAATATTAGATTACAACCTGGTGAGTGCTCAAATATATTTTTAAAATACATATCTATTATATATCGTGTGTTGTTTCAGTGTCTTCTAAATTCACTAGAACATGTGTCATGACAAACGTCATGATGTCAATGATTTATCAATAAATGTTGACGGAAACTGCAGAATAGGAACAATTACTATCAAGGACCCGCGGCCCACCATGGGTGATTGAGTTTTTCGCCCTCATTAGCAATATTCGAGCAATATTACGACGGGGAATACCAGAAATGGGCTTTACACATTGTTCGAATGCGTGGAATCAAACCTGGGACTTCAATGTGACGGGCGGATGCTTTCACCACTAGGCTATCATCATCGTGTGGAATGTTTAGTTGCATTGACATGTAGAATATCGCATCGTCTGCCATGTATATCAAGTCGTCTCTTCTCAAAGTAATCGTTCATCAACATGTGGTCTTCCTCAGATCCTCCATAACACTCTCCTTAAGGTATGTTTGTGGCTAGTATCTAAGTATTGTGTTGTTATGATTATGTTGGTGGACTATTGGTAAAAGCGACGTAAAACAATACTCACTCACATTCATCACTAAGTGTATTATTTCACCTGTTTGTGTTCCGAAACCTAAATATATTTTAATTCAACCAGGACTGGAAAAAACTATTCTTTACCTCCGGGGCATCTAAAATTTAATGATAAGAGATGATAAAATGTGTGGTTACAATGTGTGACAGTGTGTGACAATGTGTGGACAGGCTTGTTTACGGACGTGGTCAGAAATAGATGCTTGTGAACTTCACGATAATATAAATACTCTCCTGGCAGCTCTGCTCTCCCTGACTGAACCTGGTTTTAAAGCAAACGTTTGCTGATTCAGAAACTTGTGGAAGCTCACATATTTTTATTGAAAATTTACATTAGTGAAGGTAAAGCATCAAACAAGGATAAATACAGTAACCAATAGAACAAATACATTGATGTATTTTGTATTTGTGGTTCCTTCTGTACGTGTTGACAAAATATCTATGTGAACTAAACATCGTAATATCATAAAGACGTTCAAGGCATTATTAAATAACCATTCTTGTCGGAGATGAGACAAACCTGTGTGCGGTGACTTTTTCCGAGCCTTTTTCTATGAAATGAGAAACTCATGAATATTCTTGAACCCAGGATTTTTAAACTAATCTTGGCAGAAGTGAGGTGCTGTTGTTTCTGCACATTTATATATTCCAGTCAAGTTAATATCAGGAAATCCTCTTGATACTGTCAAAGTCTAGGGATTCATAAAAGAGTTCTTTAGCATATATATGTCTCATTCTCGGTGGTCTCTAGTAAGGTGATCTGCCTTCAGTTGTTGGTGATCTATTGTATTGTCTTGCATTATAGTATACGTTTTTTTAGCTACAGGCTAATTTCATATGTCTATATATGATATATAGCTTTACTGTTCCTCGTAAAGAGTTTTTTAACTTCTAATTATATTGATCTTTAATGATAATTAATTATTCCCGTCACGATATGGCCGAAATATTGCCGATTTGACGATAAATATTAATTCACTCACTCACTACTCACTAACTTTGAAATCGTCGACAACAAAGTTCACTATAACGTTTGCAATTTAATCTGTTATATACTCTGCGTGTAGAGAGTGGAGCGTAGTCTGCTGTTATATCTAACATGCTGCGTGATGTATTCTGCCATAGCCGTCACACCGTTTTCTCAAAAGTTGACTATGGTGACTATGCTGTTTGGATGCGTTTTATTTGTCGCTGTTGAGACGGCAGCAAGTTTGTCAATGTCAAAACTCAGCTGCATCTGCCTCGAAAATAGAATTTCTACATTTAATCTCCATTATAATAAACAAACTGATCATTTTGAAGTTTTGGCAATATGCCCAACTAAACAGCACAGCTACAATGTAGGAGATGCCTCGAACCTCTGCTGTTCTGTTACTGACAATATTCTTTTGAAAACCTATGGCCATAATAAAATTGATTTTGATGCATCAAGTATCTTGAAATTACCTTCTATTATTAAGTCATGCTTTAGAATAGTTTCGTTTCGTAATAATCGGGGGATTAATACTTTATTTCACTTGTACCGTATGCTTTCAGGCATTTGAAAGTAACCGTTCACTAATCCTTTTCGTTGTTTGATCTATGAGTGAATTTGCTTGATCAAATTGTGAAATATTCTCAGCATGAAATCCTTAACACACTAAAAGAATTTATTCGAAGCCATTATCTAAAAATAATTTATATCCGAACGATTTTGGGAGTTTGAAGCATAAACTTATATTTTGAGAATAAAAGAGGTGAGATTTTAATAGACAGCCATATCATGGTGTTTTGTACAAAAAAAGCAAATCCCAGTCAGTGTTAACTTATTACTGCACTTTTAGCTTTCACCGCCTTCGTCCCTTGAGATGCTGCCTTGGTGGCCACTGATAACTGACATTCTGTGGCGTTTCAACCATACAAGCATAATGTACAAAGGTTTAAGATAAATTGCACGTTACGTAGCCCAATAGTCGACTGCATGAACACAGGAGCATGTTGTCAGTGGAAACAGACGCCCGA